AGAATTCATTAACCACATTCTTGTCTTCAGAGTCTTCAGTACTTTGTTCACCTAAACCTTGTCTTTAGAAACTTTTCAGAACTTGACCTTCAGATATTGTGTCTTCAGAATCTTCAGAACCATGTTCACCTGAATCACGTCTTCAGAATCTTCAGAACTTGTAACATTAGAAGCACATCACCTTAGAAAGCCTTATAGGCTTACTTATAAAGTCTCAATCAGAAACTTTGTTACTAAAGTTCCTTAAAACCGTTGCATTATAAGTATTTCTGAATCTTGACTTTATCTTGTACACATTATATGTTTTCTTTCTAGAGTGTTTAGATCAGAGTCTGATGATGTCACACGCCTCCTTATCAGAGAATCATATTGACAACAGTCACACACTAGATAGAAATCATATCATACAGAATTGTTCTCTTAGATAACAGGTGCAGTTATCATCAAAACTCAAAGGCCAGATGTAGAATCAAATCTTATTCTTACAAAATATAATACTCCATGTCACATTTTCCGAATCCTTTAAGCCTTAAAAATGAATCAATTTTCATATTCCAGACTGTAGGAGCTTGTTTCAGTCCATACAAGGCTTTATGCAACTTGTACATCATTCCTTCCTGAGGTTGTAAAAGGGTATTTAGAAATTCAGATTTCACGTCTAAATGGATCAGAGGCTAATTTCTACTAGTAACTATAACAATCACCAATCTGGTTATTTCATGTCTAGCTACAGGTGCAAACACTTCAAAATAGTATAATCCAAATTTCTATAGAAATCATCTAGCTACTAACCTTGCTTTGTGTTTGCTAATTATCCATATGGTTTTAGTTTCTACTTGTAACCCCATCTTACGCTGATGGCTTTCTTGTTATTTAGAAGCTCAGTCAACTGTCAAGTCTTATTTCTTTCTATAGCCACAAGTTCTTCTTTCATGACCTTCAGCCACACTATCTTCTTGAGAGCTTCTTCAGTAGTAATTGATTCAGAGTCTACCAACATGACACACTGAATGACTTTCCTTTCAGAGTCTATCTCAGTATCTCGCAACATGTCAAACTTTGTAAATCTTCTTGGTATTTGTCTAATTCTTTGTGGTCTTTGAACTTGTTAAGAATCTTTTCCTGATGATGGAACAATATCATATCTTAAACTACCTTAAGAGTTTGATTAACCTTTAGAGGCAAGATTACCACCAGAGTCTTGATCTTCATCAGAATCTAGATTAGAATCAGATTCACCTTCAGAGTCAGACTTGTCTTCAAACTCATCTTCAGCATCAGAATCTCCTTCAAAGTCTGAAATATCTTCATAAGTTAACTCAGGTGTTATCACTACACCAGAGTTGGATTAAGACTTGTTACAATCACATGCTTATGTTTCTTTCACAATAACATCTATGCTAAATTCAACTTTGTTAGTGACATGATAATAGAGCTTATAAGCAGTTGTACTGTGGTAACCTACAAGCAACATAACTCTACTTCTGTCATCCAACTTCCTTATCTTAACATCTGAAACATATTTGTAACAAAAAGATCCAAACACCTTCAGATGGCTCACACTCCGTCTAAACTTCCTGATGTAATATTTTTCCTATTTAATTTTAATTTTATGTATAGGTTGCATGTTGTTAGGATTTTACTATTTTTTTAAAAATTTTATGTTATTAGGCTTTAATTTGTTTATAGCGATTTGTTGTATAAAATTTAGGTCTAGTAGTGATTAAGTCATTTAGATTATCTTCCTTGCGATTAAAGTTATTTGTAAATGTAATGTTAGATTGTGTCAATTGATCAATAAAATTCCATTTATACACCTCATTTAAATTGATTTTGTGTTGATAAGTTCATTGATTAACTAAGTTTTCATAATTTCATATTTCATTCTATTGTTTAAAACATTGAGTAACTCCTTATATGAATATATTGCATACACAATAAAATTTACCACCGTTCAATTTTGCGAAAATTGAAACTTTTAAGAACACCATTTTTACCTTTCTCTCTTATATTTTTTCCCCTGAATATATATATATATATATATATATATATATATATATATATATATATATATATATATATATATATATATATATATATATATATATATATATATATATATATATATATATATATATATATATATATATATATATATATATATATATATATATATATATATATATATATATATATATATATATATATATATATATATATATAAAGAAAGTGGATTTAACAAGAAGCAATTAAGGGATCCAATTTTTTTATTTCTTGTAAAGAAAATAAGTAAGTGTAGTAAATGATCACTTTTATTAGGATTAGATAAAGTTATCAATGGAATATCTTTTATCTAACACTTCTATATAATCTTGACATTTATGATTTTAATATCTAGGGTTAGATATGCTTATGGTCTCCTAAATATTTTAATATTCACTTTTAGGTTTTTAAAAGAAATTCTTTAAAGACGGATCCTCCTAATATTATTCATTCAAAATTTTGATCCCTCTTGTTAATGTCTATTCACAGAAATTGACGTGACTTGACACATGTAATTTTTTTGACAATTAGACATACAAATGGAAATGCCAGTGTGACAAACATGTTGACATGAATGCTACATAGCAATTTGTTTCCATTTTATATTATATATATTAATTAAAGTTATAGCAATGAAAAGCCTGTTTGCTAAAATAAATATTATGCATAAATCCAAAAACGATAGTTAATCTATAGTTAATTTGTAACTAATCCGTAGCTAATCCCTAGATAATTTAAACATACTATTGTTATGACCTATATTTCATCTTTTCTTGATTTTTTTTCATGAAAGTTTGTCATATTATAAGGATATTTTCTAAAATAATTGAATTTCTTTTTACTTGAAATAAATTAAATATAATTTTTTTAAGCGGCGATTTTACATGAAACTGAAACAATTCAAATATTGACATATAATTGAATTTTGAGATAATCTTTTACAGGGGCTTATCTCATAACACATAAAAAAGATTTAAAAAGTTCTAGGGCATTACCGAATAAGTCTCAGTTTGTTTATATTTTACGATCGAAACACATAAACATAATTTTTTTTCAAGAGGTGGATTTAGCGGCAGACTTTCCACGTTGAATTCATGTCAGCATCTTTGTCACAATGACATTGTCGCATGTACGTCTAGTCATAAAAAAATTTCACAACACACATTAACTCGAGAGAGCAAGTATTTTGATGAAAAATATTAGGAAGATCATTCTTTGAAAAAAAATTTTAAAAAATTAAAAGTGAAGATTGAGATATTCAGAGGGACTACAAATATATTTAACTTTAATATTTATTATTGTACTTACTTTTATTAATTGATCTTCATAATATGATTTTTAGGATTAAATTGACATTATAAAATGGTTTTTAAATATTTATTTGCGATATTTTATCTATCAAATAAACTAAAGTCTTAGAAAGTATTTAGGTGTACTATTTTCTTATAATTTAATTGTTATGTATTGACGGTATAAAATAGTTTTACACTATCATCTAATAAAAATTCATCACTCAATTATGTTATACCAATAATTTTAAAACTACAATTTAATTTAATAAAATACAGGATGATGATTGGTTGATAATGTAAAATTAATTTGCACCATTATCATTGTCGGTGTGTATCATATTTTCTCTTTTTAAATGGTTAATGTTGCTATATCATATTATATTAACTTAAGTCTGAATAAAATCAACATTTAAATAATATCTACTTAACATGATGGCAACCCATAGACAAAACCCTAACTAAAAGTATATTTAATTATAATTTTCATAGTTAAATTTGATAATAAAATATAAATTTTATATCTAAATATATCCCGTAGAAAATATCTCTCATGCAAAAACTTTGTGAGGAGGATACAGACCAAGCAGGCATGTGTGATATTATGAATCATTATTTCGAGAATCTATTTGCTGTTAAAAACAATAGATTCATCCAATCTTCTATTTCTAATGCTGAGAATGAACTGTTGATCGTGTCGGATACGAAAGAAGAGTTATACGAGGCTCTTCTTCATATGCATCCGGATAAATCCTTGGGTCGTGACGGTTTTAACCCAGCTTTCTATCAAAAGTTATGGAACATGTGTGAGGAGGATATATTTGTTGCTGTTACACATTGGATAGAGTGAGACTTTTTCCCTTCATCTCTTAATGATACAAAAATTTTCCTTATCCCAAAATGTGTGAAAGCTAGAAGCATGAGGGACTCGAGACCTATCTCACTTTGTAATATGGTGAAATGGTGTCGAAACTCCTTGTTAATATATTGAAGAAATGTTTGTCTGAAGAGCATTCGACTTTTACTGAAGGGTGTTCTATTCTGAATAATGCATTGATAGCTATTGAAACTATCATGTGCTAAAAAGGAAGACCAAGAGTAACAAAGGTGAACTGACCGTCAAGATTGACATTAGTAAGGCTTATGATATAGTGGATTGGAGTTTCTTGAAAAAATGTCGTAATTAATATGGGATTTCCTGAGAGGTGGATCCATTGAATGATGATGTGTGTTATGTCGGTGAATTATTTTATTCTGCTTAATGCGGATAAAGTCGGACCTATTCAGCCAGGGATAGGATTGAGACAGGGGAAGCCATTGTCTCCTTATCTTTTCATCTTAGTTACTCAAGCTCTTTCGAGTATTATCAATAGAGCTGTAGCCAGGGGTGACATCCATGAAGTCCAAATCTGTAGAGGGACACCAAGAATGTCCCATCTACTTTTTGCTGACGATTGTTTTATTTTTTGTAGGAATTACTTCACAGAAGTGAAAAATCTTATGAAGGTGCTTAATATATATGCAGAAGCGACTGGTCTAGAGATTAATATGACAAAGTCAAAAGCGTTATTTCAGTCGGAACATTAGTTAACTGGCTCAAGAAGACCTGGCTCGTATTATGGGGTCCGCCAAATATTAGGCACTGGAACGTATTTTGGTTTACATTCGATGATAGGCAGAAGTAAATCTACATTTGCTCATGGATCGAATATGGAAGAGAATGAATTCTTGGAGAGATAGGTCTTTGTCTAAGTCAGGAAAAGAGGTTATGATTAAGTCGATTCTTCAGGATATTCCTTCTTATGTCACGAGTGTCTTTGTTATCCTGGATGGTATTGTGATTTTTATTGAGAAGATGATGAATTCTTTCTGGTGGGGAGGAAGTAGTAATAATAAAGGTATTAAGAGGCTAGCTTGGGACAAATTATCTTGCACCAAGAAGGATGGGGGGACTTGGACTCGGAGATTTAAAAGCTTTCGACTTGGCTATGGTGGCAAAACAATGGTGGCACTTGATGACAAATCTAGAGTCGTTGGTGGCTAGATTTTTCAAGGCTAGATACTACCCTAATTCATCTTTTCTATAACTTAGGCACGGTCATAATCCGAGTTTTTCATGGAGAATTCTTTGGAAATCTAGGGTAGTTATGAACCTGGGATGTAGGTGGAGTATTGGCGATGGGAGTAAGATTAAGTTGATGTCTGAACAGTGTCTAAGAGGTAATGTAGATGGGTGTTTAGGAGGCCCCCAAAGGCGAGGTGCTTATGAGATTACTATTAAGGATATAATGATGACTCAAGGTAAATAGTGGGATGCTCAGAAAATTCGTCAATTGTTTAACCATGATATTGTGAATGATATTTTAAAGGTACCACTCTCTAAGGTTTGTAGGGTGTGGAAAGAAGAACAAAACAATATTTATAGTGTGATATCTGCTTACAGGTTGGCGAGGAATTCACTATAAAACCACATTAATCATAGGGTTGAGGGGGATTAGAGTAGCTTGTCGAACATTAAGGCACCATCAAGAGCTAAACAGTTGTGGTGACTCTGTAGGAACTGCCTCCCAACTCGGAATAAACTTCGACAACGCTTTGTTCCGTGTCCACCACACTATCAGTTATGCGAGAAAATCGAAGAGGACGATTAACATGTTTTCTTCGGGTGTATGGTCACAAATCAAAGCTGGAGAATTGCATGTTTGTCTTCTACTATAGAACCTCATCTTCATAAGGTTAATGATGCTTAAATGCTGATTCTTGCTATTTGTAGTAAAGAAGATAAGAGGACTGTAGGGAGAGCCGCAGTCTTGATTTGGGTCCTTTGGAATAATAGAAGTAATGTGATATGGAATAATGATGGAGATGTTGAGTCTAAGTTAGGAATTCACGCTTACCACACTTGACATGAGTGGTTTAAAACTCAACATATCCATGGGAGTAGGAATGAATCCCGCAATAACCAAACTGTGTGGAATCCGCTTAATGAAGGTTGGGTAGAAGTGTAATATGGGCGTGTGTTTAATAATTAGATAGGAACTACCGATAGGGGTTGGTATATTACAGATTTCCGTGGTAGATTTATCATTGGTGGTAGTTCGTGTGACAAAGGTCTTTTATCGACTATAGAAGCGGAGACTCTTGCCATAAAAGAAACAATTCAAGCAGCCATCCAGTTGCAACTGGACTACGTGATTTTTGAAAGTGACGCCTAAACTGTGGTTCAAGCCCTCCATACTATGTGGTAGCTCGGAACTTAGTTTATCATTTCGTCTATTAAGAGTCTTTTACATTTTATCCCTAACTTTGATGTAAAGTTTGTCAAACGCCAAAGGAATTGGGTTGCCCATTTGTTAGCTAAAGCGGACAATTCTTGAAGTAGCCGTAGTTTGTTTAATTTAATTTCTCATTATATCTAACGACAATTGTTAAGTGAAATAAATTAAACTTGTTTTAGTAAAATAACTCTCATAATTTTTAATTTTATTACTTTAATTATTATTTTAATGGTCATTAAAACGATAATTAATATACACTATAAAATAAAGGTTTTTGGAAGAAAAAAACTCATTCAAACACTCTTCAATTTCTAACATTTATGCACTTCAAATTATTTTTCAGAATTACTCTCTTTATAACCACGTCTCATTTATTTTACACCCATTAGAATCACTTTTCACTCTATAAATTAGAACTGCTTTTAACTCTTTATAACAATGACTATGAATAATATAGTTTTCAATACGTTTGTGGAACTAAAAAATTTGGTCGTCATCATACCAACTCTCGAGAGGGAACTTTGAGGACATTCTAATATATAGATTGACAAAATATTTTAACCTTATTTTTTATTGATATCAAATCTTTGTTCATCTACTTTATTAATTTAATTTATTACTTTATTTATTTTATATAGTTAATTTTTGTTATACATCATTTGAAGGCGAGGGAAATACACAAGAAGGGGAGGGGGTTGAATTGTGTTCTCCAAAATCATTTCTGCTTCTGAACAGAGTTTAAATTCTAAATGTTGGTTCAGAATCTGATCATTAGTGCAGCATAAAATATATCAGAAGTAGAGTAAATGGAATAATGAACACAAAAGATTTATCATGGTTCCTCTCCTAATTGAGAATACTCCAGTCTCCTTGCCTCGCAAGAGATTTTCCACTATAATTAACTCATGATTACAATTTCTTATGCACTTAAGTATAAGACTTTCACTGCTCAGACTTACAATCTAAGACTTTCCTGCTCAATTAGCACCTAATCAAGATTTCCTGCTTAGATCCTCAAATCCTAAGACTTTCCTTGCTCAAACCACCTGGTTCTAGACTTCTCTGCTCAGACACGCTGCCTAAGACTTCCCTTGCTCAAATCCTCGATCCAAGACTTTCCTTCTTAGACGCGTCATCTAAGACTTCTCTGCTCAGACCTTCTGTCTAAGACTTCCTTTGCTTAGATTCAAAATCCAAGACTTTGTTGCTTAATCAAAACAGATTAAGAATTTCAAATCTCAAGCACACAACAAGAGACTTACTTGGTTCAAGCTTTTCAACTGGAGACTTTGATGCTCAAACACATAGTATGAGACTTTTGATCTTACCTATTAAACAAAATGTTCACCAGAAAAGAGAACAAGTTGTACTTGATCCTGAATTAGAGGTACAAGGTGATAACCTTAACAAAGACCTTAAGCTCTCAAGATTTCCAGAATATTCAATGTTTAGGAAACCTCAAAGCTATTTACAATTTACAACAATTAACAAAAGATTCTGCATATTTAGTAGTGTTGTTCATTGTTGATTTTGTTATTTCTTCATTCAAATAGAGGTGCTGGACATCTTTATCCTCTTTGGCATTTCTTCTTCTTATTATTCCTTGTTAGAGATTCGAGTAGAACCTTCAGCTACTTATATAGCGAATTTCAGAGAACTAGCCATTGGAAGAGATAACTTGATCAAATGCCTCTGTTCTCTCCATAGTACAAGAAACATTGAAGATAAATACACAAAAGATCTTGATCCATTGTGTAATTTTTTAATCGTAGCGTCTTAAGAAGTATCATGTATTATATAATCGTTGAGAGTGGTTATCTGTAAAGCATGTCAACTCTTCTTGAGCCTTGTGATTATAGACTCTAGCTGACAAGATAATTTGGCATTAAAACTTTTTTTCTCCAGTACAAATAACTTTCGCTTCACTACAACTTTTGAATAATCAACAGAAGCCAATACAATTACCAAGTGTAGAAACAATGTGTTGTTTCTTTTGATGTTGAGGCCTTCAACTTCAGATTCTACACTAGACATCACTTAGCAAGTGTTCTTCAGATTCTGTATCACCAGAAACACGTAACTTAACTTCACTCAAGTGTGCCTTCTTATCAGATTTCGAATATGTCTCTTAAGTATAAGAACCTGCATACTTGAACACACATTAGATATCACAATTATTTTTTTGATACTTTTGTTATCATCAAAACTAAGGATATATATATCATGAACAATTTTTTTTAACAATCTCCCCCTTTTTTATGATGACAAAAATAAGTATTTAAAGGATAATGTTTGGGCTATTTTAATTTTTCTTAGACAACATCAGAGCATGAGGTTTGTAAGCTCTCTCTGAGTCTGATAGATCAAAGGTTGAGTTTATGTAAGCTCCCCTTAAGTTCTACTTCTAAGAAATCCTAAAATATATTTAGTTTTCTCAGTAACATCAAAGTATGTGGCTTGTAAGCTCCTCTTGAGTCTAATAGTCTAAAATTGAGTTCTGAGAACCCACCCTAAGTACCATTTTCAAGAAAACTATAATTTTAACTTTCTTAGCAACATCAGAATACGAGGTTTGTAAGCTCATTCTGAGTCCCAAGACGGTCAAGGATACTTTAGTCAGAATTAAGTAAATGAAGTGTTCCATGATGGTAAAAAATTATCAAATATTGGTTTACTGATGTACTTGACTGAATACTTAAAGCACACTATAAAAGTAATCGTGCGTCCTCAAAAGTTTATCCTGTTCTTCAGAAATACTTCAAGCAAGAGATAGTTATGAAGAGAAAATCTGACAACCGCATACTTCAAAAGAGTGAGAGACACAATATTTCAAGAGAATTTGAATTGCTGAAAAAGGCTAAAGCAGTAAAAGAAAGATGTTTGGCAAATAAGGAACGTTCTGCATAACTTCTTGTAGATGCAGCAAAAGAGAGTCAGAAACTAAAGGAAGAGAAGGGCATTCAAACCAGATTGGCTACCTACAGAGCTCATACTTAAGGATCAAAGAAGCACATAAATGATTTTGAGGATCCTTCAGCTGAAGATGAGGAAGCAGAACAATACTGGAGGGAGTATGCAAGTAACACAAAGAAAGATGACTGAAGTAACAAAAAAGACTAGAAATAGACTAGTTTATTTTACAGTCATATCTTTACTCATGTAACTTTTAAATTCCAATGAAGTTTTTCCCTTTAATCAATTTATTAATAAATTTTTCCATCAAATGCAAGTCTCAATTTACTTTAAATAAAGCACAAAAAATATGAAATATGACCATTTAAATACACAGAATCATGATAGATATATAAGCATACATATTCATAACCATAAAACATTATAAACATTCATAAAAAAGATAAATCCACATGATAAAATTTCACAATCAAAACAAAATAGCACACAAAAGGGTTCTACATCCTAGACCTATGGTTTCTTCAACAATTCCATGACCACCTTAATGTTAGAACCAATTTCTTCTTTCCTCTCAACCACAGAATTAAGTTGATCATCCACTATGAGTTGGTTGCTAGCCATTTGAATTTTCATAAGCTCTTGACATTCAACAACTGCAGTGATTTTGGCTTCAAGATTGAGCTGTTGCTTCTGGTTAGTTGCAACAACTTCATTTGGTGAAGAATTCTTCAGATATTCAATAACCGTGTTGATAAATCTTCTGAAGCATTCCCATTTATCACTGTAAACCATATGATCAGTGGATGTGAGTCCTTCTTTCACAAGTAATTTTGCCTCATTAAACAACCCAGTC